AAAAAGTTATTTGTTAAACTTCCAAAGCTTTTAGGATTGCTTGGATAAAAAGTGATTTTAAAGCCACTCTAGTTAAGACTTCCCTTGACTGCAAAAATTGTGCTGTATTTCCTAGAAACGCACAGCCAGACTTCTCCATATGGATGAAACTAAAATTAAATGTTTTCTGTTGAATAATATTTTAATAGAACATTCCCCGCCCCCAAATATTGGTAAACCTTTTTTAACTTCTGGAGTGGGTTTGATTGCAGGGAATGGTCTCGTTGCTAATGAAGAATGTGTGTGATTATCCTTTACACCAACTGGAAGCTCTCATCCTTTGATTCTTGTTCCCAGAGTGTTTGGAAAGGCTTCGTGCCATAGTTACTGTTTTCAGTGCAGAATGGTATTTTCATAAGCTTTAAATGTAGCGATGGATTATTTTTTCTTCTGCCTTTCTTCCGCAGTTAGTATTTGAAGCAGTATCAATAGTCTAGCAGGTTTTCTAAATGAGATTCTGGGCATTGTTTTTTTTTGTTTCAGCATGAAGAACTACTTTGCTTACTTCATGGCTCTCTCATCGTGCTCCTTCAAAAATGATCTTATAAGAGTGGGTGCTAAAACTGCATACAAATTCAGAATGTTCTCATCAGCAGGCACAGTGAATATCTATCTTTAGTACCAATGAGTGCTCAGCAGATTTTTGTGTAGTCAGCACAAAAACGTTCTTGGAACATACAGGCAAATCTGACAAATCGCTTTGCTGTTCGTACCACCATGTTGTGAGACATGTAAAATAACTAGGTTTAGAGAAACCCATTTTCCTTGTCAGGCTTCCTGTTTGTATCTCGGAAAGGGTTTGCAATGCTTTTTGAAATACAAAGTTGGGAATAAAGCTACTTATTAGATAGGACCTTGAGCTTGGAGTAAATGGGATTGGATGCTTTCTTACCAGTCGAAATGCCAGCCAACTTCAGAACAATGGTAATCTGCTTTTTCCAGGGTGAATACAAGTGTTGTAGAGGTGGTATTGCCTCTCTCTTATCAAATAGGTTTTGATGTTTCCTGACACATAGACGTGGCAGTATGTGTTGGAAGAAAGTGCCTTTAAAAGAGGCCGTTTGATAGACCGAGGTCTGGAGCGTGCTTTTTCTTAGTTGTATCCATTAGAATATGCCAGATTCTTGACATTTGCCTTCTTGTTGCAGGACAATCCTCCGTATGATAAAGGAGCCTTCAGAATCGAAATCAACTTCCCAGCAGAATATCCATTCAAACCTCCTAAGATTACATTTAAAACAAAGATCTATCACCCTAACATCGATGAAAAGGGGCAGGTTTGTCTGCCAGTAATCAGTGCTGAAAACTGGAAGCCAGCAACCAAAACTGACCAAGGTAGGACTCCACGTGGAGAAAGAACTGGATATTGAGAAACTTTGTATTGTGTTTAAAGCTAATAGCGTTTCAGCTTGTCAGCTGGTCGCTGCTCTTACGGTATATTCATTGTCATAAGGTTTGTGTCATGAGTCACGTGTTGTGAGCACAGTGCACGACACTTTTGGAATCTCATTTTGTTACTGGAATGTAAGGTAATGACACTGACATGTGGCATGTCCACCTCCAGGAAACCACAAAACTCTTCATGACTGAAGAGTGTGTTAAGGTGGTGTCCTCGGCCTACTTAAAAAATTCTGGTGGTAGTTTGTGTGTGGGTTATTTTCAGTTTCTTTTTAAGCAGTGACTTTATAATCCAGAGGTGTTCAGTACATTCCTGAATGTTTGAAAGAAAGGGTCTAAAACCTCAGGGCTTCGTATATTTTATAATCTCTGCCATGTGGTTCAGTGATGTGAACATACGGTTTGAAATGTCTAGGGAGTCATAAACAAAATGTGAAATCATAACACATTAACTCTTAGTTCTTAAAAGAACACTGCTGTGAGGCTCACTGCGTAGAGCGTCTTTGGATAAGAACTTAAATATTTTAAGGAAACAAGTTTCATCGGGTTTGTGGCAGACTGAGAGTGTGATCTGAGTACGTTTTTTCTGTTGTTGCTTCCGTTAGTTGTTGGGGTGAGAATTTCACGTTTTCTGGCAGGTAATGATGAGTTTGATAGTAAGCATTTATCACTGTATGTATAGAAAGAGCAAACATCCTTGCAAAAACTGCGTATGTTTTAATAATATTAATTCAAATGAGTAGCAGTTTAGTGCCGTGCAAGAGCTTCAGTGACAGTGAAGTATCTTGCTCTGTAGGAGAAAGTATTTCCTTCTTCCAGACTCCTCTTTAAGGTTGTTTTCACTTGAATTGTGTTCCTGATAGTAAACAATGCTGTATGTAAGATTTCTTTTTTCTGTGTACTTCTGTATGCTAATAAAACTACTTACAGTTTGCATGATCTTGCCCCAAAGACAAAATAGGAAAATTTCTGTAGTTGTTTCAGAAAAGATCAAGCAGTTGAATGTTGGGGAAAGCGGAGGTGGCAGCAAAAAGAAGCTGTTGAACTCCAGTAGGTCAGTGAAGATCTTATGATTTGTTGTTGATTTATCCCAGATTATACAGGACAAAGATCCTTGGGAGAGATGAAGTGGAAACAATGTGTAGAAGGCTTCTGCTAACACCTTAGCAGTTGTCTTAATCTTATGAGCCTTCTCGAGTTAAGTAAAGGAACGACGTGTCTCTACCTAGTTTGAAATGCAGGTTGGCATTAGTTGGAACTACTGAAGCAATCGTTTGCACGCAGGAAATAGTCAGTGTCTCCCTGAGGAGCAGCAATTCCCTTTTTATCTGAGTGAGTGAATAAAAACCATGCTAAAATCAGAATTTGGAACGAACACCGGGTACCAAAATATTGCAAATCTCTTAATTTCTGCTGTTTTGTGGTCTTTTGTTTGTCTTGTAACTCTTTCTTCAATAAGTTGTTTTAGTGTCAACGTCTGTTGTTACTACATCGTTGTATGAACCTGCAACAATGTTATTACAGCCCTGCTTAAGTGTCTGTTCCTTTTTCTCCGGAACTCTTCTGCACTGAAAAATAAAACTTCAGTCTGTTTGCTACTTGCACCTTTCCCAAGGAAATAATGCAACATTATTAGTACCGCATCAAAGCGATTGGTTTTGATCAGTCAGGTGTCAAGAAAGCGGAGAGATTAGGTTCATCATAAATCATTAACTCACCTTCCATGTACTAGACGTGCATCTTACTGCTGTACTTTTTATTAATTTATGCTTATTATTAAAACTGACTGTTGTGACAGTACAGTTTTAAAATGCTGTGGCGATTGAGGCAACTCCTGTTATGACAATCCTAATTTTTTCTGGCTCGTGTGCTAAATAACCTTAATAACACAGTAACACTTTCTCTGGTGTTTTAGCGTGTGTTACGGCGTGAAAAGGGATTGTCACGTGCAGTATTGATGCTAGTTTCATAAGTAGTTGTTAATATGATGACAGTTGTCGGAAGTCCAGGACTGGTGAGTTCCTGTGAAGTAAGCTAATATCAATTCTACATTCCTTAGATAGATTGTTGCAGTTTAAACTCTGATTTGTGGTAAGAAATGTTCCTGATGAGCAATATAGCCACAGGCGTGCTTCTCTGGACTTTGAGTATTTGTTTTGAGGTATGTTCCCCATTCCTATCAGGTAAGGGTAGAAAAGAGTATGAGCATGAAAAGATCGATGCTCTGAAAGAAGCCACTCTGGTATTCTGGCATCTACTGGAGTGATAAGTATTGTAAGAACTTACATTGCAAAACTAGGGACAATCCGGTTAAACTGCTAAGTAGCAGTTTCAGAACAAAGGATAGACTCTGGCTTTTTGCGCAACGCGTAGCTGAGCTGTGGAACTCCCCGCTGCTGGATGGTGTAGGGGTCGGTGGTTTATGTGAGTTCAGGAGGAGGCAGCTGGCTCTAGTGTGCAACACTAGATCTGTTATACTTGCTTTAAAAACTCTTGGGGTGCTGCTTTCTATTACTCTGGGTAGCCCAAACTTACCTCAAACGGAATATTAGTAATACTGTCGCACAGTGAAATGCTTTTTATGCGTACCCACTTTCTGTAGACTTGCCCAGTTACGCGTATACCTTCTAGTGGGTGGAGACGAGAACTGATTGTTGTGACCTGTCGAGCTTTAAATGGTCGTGAGAATGTATATGAGGAACATGTAGCAATAAATGTCACTGTAGTATGCGAGGTTGGCTGCGTAGATGCCAAGTACGGTTCAGTTATTTTAAGAATGACGTTTCCTTTGAAAGCGATAGGGAAAGTTGAAATGGCTGTGAACAGTGGGGTGAAAAGCATCTTCCGGTTCTTATCTGTTTGTTTGCCCGGTGCTTCTCTGCCAGTGGATGTATTTGGCAGTTCAGAATGAAGGGAAGAACTGTCTGCTGTTTATAGGGGAAGTAAGAGTCATAGAAAAATCAAGCTGAAGAAACGGTTTCCAAACGCAGGCGCAGTTACAACTGCGTCATTGTGACAGGCGTTAGGAAAAAATGTTTCATGACGGAAATTCCATCTTCACCCAGTCTCTCTTAGATGAACTTGTCTGTGAAACTTAGTTTCTTTCTTAGCCATAGGAGAGAATTTCAGATAGGATGCCAGTTACGTGGGAAATAATTTGTAGTGCGTTTTGGTCTCTATTCAAGTTGATTTTGTTTACAAATACGATTTTCTGGTGTTCGTTCATGGTCATTGAACTAAATCTTGGCATGTTGCTATAGCTTATTCAAGCTCTGCTTTTGAAAAGACCCTAGATTTATGGGAATGTAGTTAAATGCAGTTAAAGCTCTTTACTGGGGAATTTTGCTTACATTTTGATTTTTAAAAATTAACCATCTTAGTCTCTGACAGTATTTATACTTCTTTTGACAGTAATCCAGTCCCTCATAGCACTGGTGAATGATCCACAGCCCGAGCACCCCCTTCGGGCTGACCTAGCTGAAGAATACTCTAAGGACCGTAAAAAATTCTGTAAGAACGCTGAAGAGTTTACAAAGAAATATGGTGAAAAGCGACCAGTGGACTAAAATCTGACACAATTGATGTCAGCAACGTATGATAGAAGATCGGAGCAGTGCATTTGAGACACCCCGTAAAGCAGGACTCTATGGAAAATTGACAAGTGCCACCTTTCGGTGTTAACTTGTGGCTGTTACTAACTTTCTACAGTTTTCTTAATCAAAAGTGGGCTAGGTAACCTGTAAAGAAAGGATTAAAATTTAAGATGTTCTAGTTCTGCTTTCTTTGTTTAAAAATCACTGCTTCAATATACTTTAAAGTATGCTGTTTTCTTTTTCTTGTCAGAATTTATCAAAAATATCTTAGACTTATATTCTGCCCTTAAATTGAAAAGGTTGTGGCTGTCATTTCTTATTTTTCCTTGCAGTTCCCACTATCTTGAGTTCATTTAATTCTTCATTGAATTTTATCCCCCTCCCCAAACTGATGTCTTAGGAAAAAAATATCCCAGTTCTGGCAGAAAATGATTGAGTGTTTGGCAGTTTTGTTTACTTTTCTTTTTAAATGTTGCACTGCGCTTTGTGGGACTTGTTGCAAGTTCCCCTTAACTTCAGTTTGTAACATAATAAACAAAAAACAAACAAACCCCACAAAAACAATCAGAAATAATGTCCAGGTCTTATGTAAATCTGGCTGATGTTACCACAAAATGTTTATTAAACGGGGAAACCCAAGTTTTTGTGTGCGTCATTGAATTAAAATATGGCTTATGTCCTGCTTTTGGAAAACTTTGGAAAAAAAATTCCGTAGCAAACGAGCAGTGGAATGTGATTACAAACTTCTTTTGCTTCTATTCTTAATACCTATGCAGAGCAGGTAGGAAAACGTGCACAGAACAACACTGCAACCAGTTTAGAAGAGTTTCAGAAATTGGGGACCAAGAGGTACCAAAGTGATAAACTGGCTTTTGAGTTAGAAATCGGTATTTTGGAAGTGTTAATTCTGAATTCGAGTACTAAATCTGACCGCACTGCTAGCCGTCTTAGAACATTTTTCCAGCAGAATGCGTAAGAAACATCTGTGTTTTATGGGATGGCACTCGTGCCCCTTTCCCAGCCCAATCGCTGTACAGTTCTTACCGAAAATGGTATGAGAAGAGGATTAAGCAATAACCTGCACTAGAGTACGCTTCACCACTACTGTTCCTGTGTTCTAAAAATACACAGGTTAGATGATGTAATGAGTACTTCAGGTATCATTCTAACTTAATCGGGCAGAGCTGTTTTCCCGTTGCTCCAGGGCACACCCGTGCATGCCGAGGGAAGCCCTTTCTGTCCAGAACTGAGCATCCTTTACTGTGTCTCTGCTTTCCTCCTGACTGCCTGTCTTTTTTTCCCCAGTCTGAAGTGTGATCATAGCTCCACAGTCAAACTGCCATACAATCAAACTGCCGTCTCTTCCCCGCCTGTCAAACTTGGGTATGTTACTGAGCAAACAGATCTATCTCCAGAAATTCCTAGGTATCTGGGAGTACATATCATTTCGATGTGCAGGAAGTTGAATTAGAAGATCTCTCGCACCCAGATGGTTGTCTGTAATCCTAAATTCAGCTTAAATACAGCCTCTGCCTTGCAACCTTTCAGAACTAGTGTGTCAAGCGGTAGGTCTCTTTTGGTTTTAACGTCTTGTATATTTGCTATTTCTTCATTCATCCCTCTGATCCAGCTTTCATTTCCGACGTAGTGTAAACAATGACAGCCCAGTACCTCACCTCTGTTGAAAGTAAATTTTTTTTATAAGTTAGGGAGCTAAGAAATTTTATGTTTAAGTGTTCTTAGACAGATTCTTTGGCAGGTAAATAAAGTTAAACCACATTCACCTTATTTACGGAAACTTGCATTTCCTAAGTGTTTTCAGGCTTGTGAGAGCACTGTCTATTACCAAATTTTCACATCTTTGTGTCTTCATTTGCAGAAAGTTGGTACTGATTTTGTTTCATTCACGCTCACTCGGATTCATAATAAAATAATGCCAAATTATCTGTCAAACTGAAGTGTGTATAACTTCCGCATCACATGAGTCACTGTACCTTTTGATCATGTCTGTTGGCATGGAAACTTGCCATTCTCGAAATTGTCTTTTTACTTAAAACTGTAGCACTAGTTTGCTGCCCTCGTTACGACTAAATAGTGTACTTTCTGGTTGTAAGCCTCTCAGGTCAAAGACTGCGTTTATTTGGATCGGTGTGACTTGGATGCCATTGAAAGGGAACTGGAAGGGCTGTGTAATTCAAGGAACTCCGGTCGATTCAGAGAGGCCTACAGCAGCGCTGTACCAGCTATTCCGATTTCATCTGTAAAGGTCACATAGAAGACAGATATTGCTATCACTTCTCTTTGTGTGTTCTTCATAGTTCCATTTCTAAACGACGAGATGTGTAACCTCAGTGATGGCTTTTGTTTGTAGGCAGCCCTCTGAAAAAAGACAGATCAAATACTGTACTGTACGGTTGAAGTCTGAGGAGAAAAAAAATCAAAGTACGAAGTCCTATGTTAACTCAGGAAATCAAGCTCTTGTTCTCTCTGGTTCCCTAAGCCATGCTGAATTCTAAACGTGCAGTTTAATATCCAAAATAAAAACAACGTACTGGTGAAACCCCACCCAGGAGCACTGGTATAGGCTTTCTGCAATTCCATTCTGCTACCCTAATAAAAATTGCTCTCAAAGGCTTTGTGGCATGGTTTTATTTTGAGAGAGATTTGGGGGTTAGACTTTTTTAAGTATTCTGGTACAATGACATTCGTAGGTAGTGTTTTTAATTTGAACTCAGTGTTGTCTTTAACGCTTTCATAGAACCACTGAGAAACTTCCTTATCGCCGTACGTTTTATGCAATTGAAAGGTTCCTTATTTAGAAGTCTTTCAGTAGTTCCTTATTTATTTCTCCATTTAAAACCCCCTTGAATTTAAAAGAAAATTTGGGGTTTAATGCTGTTCGTTTAAAAATATGGAGTTTGCAAAAATACATGGTTTTTTTGTTCGCAATACGGAACTAACTCAGGTAAGACTGCTGCCGTGTTTGTGGTGTTCATCTAGCAGAAAACGCATGCAACAGTCAACAGGTGTGTAACGCCCCGAGGACTGTGACCAGAGCAAGTTCATCGGTTAGAACATGGAGCAATTCAAACGTTAAAAATAAGGTTTGAAACTATCCATGAAAATACGCTCACATTACATAAAAAGCTGAGATCTGGTATTAAATAACCCGTGTCGGTGTCGGGCTTATCCCTGCGTGTGAATAAAATACCGTCGGTCACTAGGTGGCACTGACAGGTCTCACTGCGCTCTGAACTCCAGCCGCTTTCTGCAGGTCTAATATCCCTCGGGGTTTTTATTCTCTCTTACCACACAGCAGGAACTTTGCCGTCAAGCACCGACAGGACGAGCTTCAGAAATCGAGTCATTCCAAAAGGTAACTACTGCTCTCATCTGGCTCGGCCGTTTGGTGTAGCATTTGCACAGTACAGTGGATGGGGTTTTTTTTAAAAACAAACGTCATATATCAAATTAAATCTGTGACAATCATTGAGGAAAGAACCTGGAAAAATATTTTCTAAATCATCCTTGATGACGTTTTTCATATTAGTACAGAACAAAAACTTCCTCGGGTGTTTTATAGGGAAGGTCAAACGGTTCCTGTTGATGATAGAGACAGGCATCCTTTCAGCACTCCGCAGGCAGTCGCAGGTAGGTGAGTGGGTTTAGTTTGCTCTCCAGCTATAACTAAAACCAAAAGCCTCCTGAAGCATTACAATAGAAAAAGGCCTGAGTTTATTTTTCACTTAAAAGAATGATGATCACATTGAAATCTTTAATATTAAAAGAAATCGTTAACCAAAAATGATTATGTTAAATAGATCACTTTTGCGCAGAAAATGAGCGTAAACAATCTAAAAGATTTTTTCCCGTGTGAAAGTTACATGTGAGTGACAGGGTTACAGTTAAGAACGCAGTTAAATGTATGAGTATTACTAGGGCTTGTTGATCTTCAAATGCTTTGATGACAGGAATAAAAATGGACAAATAGAGGGATGTTCTCCACTTGAAAACTTGCTCATAGCTGGTACGCAACTGTCCCGCACGTTTTTCATGAGAGGCGGTGGGCAGTGCAGGAACAGTTGCTGGTGAGCTCTTGCATGGAGCAGTTACTGAAATAGCAGATGGGTCAACAGTTGCTGTTCTTGCAAAGTCATCCAAAAAAAAAAAACCAACCAACCAAAGAAAGAAAAGCCTCTCTGAAAGGGCTGTGGCTGATGTTACTTTCCTACGGTGGCTTAATGCCAACAGGCAACGTAAATAGGAGGAGCAGTAATTACTGCTGGCTGAGGCTGTACGTGGAATATGGCTGCAGACACCACCACGCTAAACCCATGATCCAACTGCTCTGACCAGAGAAATGCTCTGAAGTAATGTGCCCCTGTGCCCCTCGCCATCGACGGGCAGGCACCAGTGGAGGGGAAGGGACCGTGACCCGGCACTTTAAGAAAACAAAATGCTGAAGGTTTCCAGGCCTCCCGTGGGCAACCTACACCGAGTGGTTGCTCCAAAGCAGCGCTTGCTCCCCCACATCTTTCTTTTTTTGCAGTTAAGTCCACGAAGGGAAATGATCAGAACCCTCAGGGTGCTAGTGTGCTGCTTGGTCTCGCAGCAAAGCCTGTCTTCGTGCTGCTCACCATCGCGTTGGCAGGAACTGAGCCCTGGGAGGAGGGCTGGGCCTTGGCTGCCATGCTGTGCTGGAACCGTGTGCGAGTGGGTGACGCAGAAGGGGGTTGTCACATTCAAAGCAGATGCTGTGGCCTAAAAACTGCCAGTCAGGGCTCGGGGGTACTGCCTGTAGCTGCTCACAGGGTGTTGCTCTTCCATGAACAGCCTAATGCTGTTCCCAGCTCCTGTCAGCTGTACCAGGACGTATTACGCTGGTAACAGTGGTCTGGCTTCTCCGGACATTAGCAACTGTGTATCTTCAAAGTATAAATGTATGTATGTATGTATGTATGCTTGTTTACTTAAAGATCTTTGAATGAACAAAGCTGAACGTTCCTGGTTTTGTAATGGCTCTGCAGCTCTGGCTTAATTAATGTCTGGAGTTCATGGAGGCGCTCCCAGGACTGTGAGAAATCATCTGGTCCTTCCCCACAGCCGCCGACGGGTGGGACGCTCGGGTACCCTGGATGCACCATCAGTTCAATCGTTACTGTCCTGCTCTGTGGCGTCGGGTGTGCGGGGGAGGGCGCCTTGGACAGGAACTCCACGATGGCGGTGTCAATGGCACTCCAGATGTTACTGACAGACATGTTCTTGCCCATGGTACTCAAACCTATGTAAATGTCTGGCCATCTGTAGCCAGAGGAGGGAACACTGATATTAATGCTAACGAGGGAGGTAGGTAGAAAAGAGTGTGTTACATGCAGCAGATTAGGAATCAAGATGTACCTAAAACTTAAAATAGAAAAGGGGTGGGAAGGGGTTAAAACTTTTAACTATAAACAAAAGCAAAACCAGAACTACAAGCCAGTAATGCTTTTTCTTTCCTTATCGAAACCAGGATGCTATTTAAAGCAGCAGTTCTTCAGTCTGACAGAAAGTCCCAGCAAAGCCCCAGCACCAGTACTGCTATTACTACTGTATTCACATGTACTGTGTCACAGCACAAGCGCTGTTTGGCATCTGTGAGCTTACAGGTGCATTTTGTTGGCACAAAAGGGAAGAGCAGAGCTAAACTGAGAAATACCACGCTGTCAAAATAACTCACTATTGCTAGGCCAATTAAAACCTGGATAATAACCATCTCTCGATAATAACCCTTGGCTAAGTGGAAACAAAAAAATGACTGAAATAAAATGGAAACCACCCTGCTAACAAGTCATTCTGCTAGAATGTATCAAAGAGCCACCATAAAAGACAAAACACTGGACAAAACCATTACTACTAAAGACCACAGAGCTAAGAGGATGCCAGCTAGAGGCTGTTTCTTACATAGCTTCAACACCATTCTTTGTTCAAGTCTGGCTACAAACCTCAGTTCTTCTCGCGTGGTGCGTACAAGCCCAGGAGGGCTGTGCAAGGGCAGAACGAGAGATTTTTGGAAGAAACCAAGGCTGGGGTCTTTACCTGCTTGATCAAGGAGGAGCCCAGCTGAACACTCAGCTCTGAGAAAAGTTTGCAGGCCTTTGGAAAAAAAAGTTTAACTTTTTTTAACTGTAAACTGACTAAACTTGCTAACGCCTCGTTGCTATGCAGTAAGCACAGCCTTGTGCTCTCCAGTGTCATAATCCGAACTCTGGGGGCCCAGGGTGGTACCTCTTGGCACAGACGCTGAAATTGAGTTGCAGAGCTGGGTTCCCTGTGGCTTCAGCTGGCCACACGCTTCTCATTTTCCTAGGTTTTCTCATGTTACATGTTTCTTTTGTAAGCGTTTGTCCCTCCTCGCCTCCCCCGACGTCAGGAGTCGAGGTGGAGCACGGTGCGTGTCCGTGCGGGGGCGGCCGCAGCTGCGGGCCCGGCAGGG